GTGGTTCATTGAACTACAATACCGATAAGTGATTAATAAAAGTCAAAAGACCAAAGAGGTCACCTTAATACTAAAAATAATAATAATAATAATAATAATAATAATAATAATAATAATAATACTTGTTTAAATTTTTTTTTTTTGATATTAAGATGACCTTTTTGGTATTAGCTTTTTATTAATACTTATGTTGAATATATATTTTATATAGACATATCTATATTGAACTATTAGATGAATGTACAACTGACTACACATGTAACTTTTCTATATTACCTATTTAAAAAATCTGTCTTAATGTTTTTTACCAATTGTCATATCTAATATCTCTGCTTAGATGTTTCATTTAAATTCTTTGTTTTAATCCTAATATTAATTTTACTTGATCACAGACCAAGATCTATTCACTTTTAACTATAGAACTATAATCCTTAGACTATTTTTATCCTTGAGATAAACCTACCAGAGCAAGCTGTATTTCTTTTTACTGCTAACTTGATGTCTAAAATATTTTAATTTTGATTAAACCAATTCTTTAATTTTCTTTTATATTAAAGACAGAACTGTTAAAATAATAATTTTAAACAATTTAAAAGTTATGAACATGTTCAAAACTGTTTAGTTAAAATTTAATAAAACATTCAATTGTCAAAACACATTTATTTTTAAATTTTACTTAAAAATCTTTGCTACTATATTATGGTTAAGCTATAATAATGCAAGATAACATTGACGGTTTCTTTTTTAGAAACATGCATTACTCAGAATATGTTAACTTGAACCATAGTGTAGTTATAAATATAGAGAAACGGGAATTCTTTCCTGTCTAAAACTAGAAATAGACACATTTATGGGCGGCTTATCTCTCATTGCCATACAATCCGGGTATCCTTATGTCAAGGAAATCACGGGCTGAAGATCACTCCCGACCTTATCCGGATCCAATAAAATCACAAGATCTCGTGTAACAAAACAAACGCGAAAAACAAATAACACAAAAATTTACTTTATAATTAACTTCCGACCTCTAAGTAAAAGTTTTTAGAATGAAATTTTACTCATAGGACACAATTGTTGATGTTAGATATATAGGGATACTACGACCCATATTCTTTTGGCCGGCAGCTCGGGATTTTCTTGACACAAGGATACCCATATATAATCCATACAATTTATCACAAATTAGATCGGAAACCCTAAAATTAACAAACAATAGATCGTATGATCACCTACAATAACGTTCAAGAATAACGATTACAACCGTTAATTTGAATAAAAATGTATTCTGAAGTTAAGAACACAGGTAGTGCAAACGAAAGCTCATTTCATACTACTCTTCTTTTCAGTGTCAATGATCGAGTAGGCATCTTGGACGAATGCTTGACAGCTATTAAGGCATTGAATATTTCATTAACAAGGATTGAAAGGTAAATCTCACCCAAAGTTACAAAACCTTAAAAGTTCATTTACTTATTATCAATTTTGACATATAGTCGTCCAAGTAGAACCCCCGGCTGGGACTATGATTTCTTTGTTGATTTTAGTGCTGATGAGGAACAACTTTCTAACGCAATCAAATCTTTGGAAAAGATTACAAAGCAAGTTAAAGTCATTAGTACCGGGGCTACTCAAGGTATATATTCTACATGTTTATGATATTTATCAGCGGTTAGCTAATTGTATAGATAACTTTCTAATTATTTCATATTATAATGTTCAGTAACATTGGCAATGCCGTGGTTTCCACGTAGAAAGACCGATCTTGACACATTTGCTGATAAAGTCTTGGAAATGGGTGAAGAACTTGGTAATAAAAAATTATATTCAAGTACTTCCCGTTATATAGATAAAAGATGCCTTTCTCAAAAAGAATACGAATATGTATAGATGCCGATCATCCAGGCGCGTTAGATCCGGATTACAGAGCGCGTCGTGCTGAGATCACTCGAATCGCTAAAACTCATCGTCATGGCCAACCAATTCCAAAAGTTGAATACACTGAACAAGAAATTAAAACCTGGGGTGCAGTTTTTCGCAGCTTAAAAAAATTATATAGTTCACACGCGTGTAGAGAGCATCAGTTAGTATTCCCATTATTGGAAAAAAATTGTGGTTATGGCGAAGATAACATCCCACAATTGGAAGAAGTTTCAAATTTCTTAAAAGGTATATTAAAATATTATTATCATTCATATATGCATATAGTTAATATTCATATTTAAATCTCTCTAGATTATACTGGATTCACTCTTCGTCCTGTTATGGGATTACTCACGTCACGCGATTTCCTTAATGGCCTTGCATTTCGCGTGTTTCATTCGACCCAATACATTCGTCATCATTCTAAACCTCATTATACACCAGAACCGTAAGCTAACATTTTGCAATGTTTATTTGAGATTAGCGCATTTAACTGATTCAAAAATATGATTCATTCTTTATTTTTGTATTTAGAGATGTGTGTCATGAGCTTCTTGGTCACGTTAGTGTCATCTCACATCATGTACATGTTTAGTTGATTATTCCTTGTTAATAAATATTCATTGTAATATACATAAGGTTCCCTTATTTTGCGATCCAGATTTTGCTGATTTTTCTCAGGTATGTATACAATATTGGGCAGACGAAGAAAAATTTTTTCTAAGTCAAATACTGGTGGTTTATATGACCGTGTGAAGTTTTTTTCTGATATTTTGCAAAACTGATTACGTAATTTTGTGCAAAAAAATTCACATGATCATATGGAATGTCGGATCGGATAACAATTTTTATCGTTTCTTATTTGCTATTCGATTAGGAAATCGGATTGGCTTCATTAGGTGCTAGTGATAGCGATATCGAAAAACTTTCAACGGTATGTCATTTCATTTTATTTTTTTACTGGTATTATGTATTTATTATGGATCTTCTTTAGTATAAGTGGGCATATTTGGATTACAAATTTAAACTAATTTAAATTCTAACCCAGACCCTAATTATTCATAAACTTGCTTAAATTAGTTCAAAATAGCCAATTTTTATTTATTATCCTTACACCGTCTCGCATGTAACTTTGCCTTGAAATTTCATGATTGATCTGTGATTAAGCTATCAAATTATATTGGATTGTAGTCTGTAGTAAATATGTAGTTAAATTAGGGATAATTGTACAATAATCGTATATACCCACCTTTACTAAAGATCAACCCTTGTGTATTTTATGACTTGTGGGTAAATTTTACGAATAATTTTATTCATATTTAGATTTACTGGTTTACAGTTGAATTTGGTTTATGTCGCCAGGGTAATGATATTCGAGCATATGGTGCTGGACTATTGTCTTCGTTTGGCGAATTAGAGGTATAAAAGATTTGTAGTTCGAATATTGAAACCTTATGGATCAGGGCCCATAACGAGTATATATGTCACCTTTTCATTTAATAGTATGCATTAACTGATAAACCTGAAAAAAGGCCATTCGAGCCGTATAAAACGTCCGAACAGAAATATATTGTAACTGAATATCAGCCGGTTAGAATTAATAAGCTACATATAAATGTTTAGTCTAATTATATTTATTTCAAAATCATTAATGTTTATTTTTGAAAAATTATCAAGATCTATTTTGTAGCCGAATCTTTTAAGGATGCACAACAAAAAGTTCGTGATTTTTCAAATTCATTAGAACGGCCATTTTCTGTTAGATATAATCCCTACACAGAATCAATTGAAGTGCTGGATACTCAGGTTTGCATCTCATATGTATGCATTATATTTTCATATTTATTTATTAAAATAACCTCAATTTTTTTTAGGAGAAAATTTTAAGATATGCACAAAGCATTAAAAGTGATATGGTAACAATGGTTAATGCTTTAGAAAGGTTATGAGTTTATTATAGTACGTAAGCTATTAGTAAATATATTGCAACAAATTTAAATATATTCTAGATGTTGTGTTTAGGTAGTATTTTATTAAATTGTTCTATACATATATATATTATTTGCATTGGAATTTATTATTAAGCGTTATTATTAAAGTATTTAGTAAAGAATCAATGGCTGTTTATAACATTCACAATTGATATCCACCTCTAAAGTTGACCTTTAATGCACACAAAATTGTTATTTATGTATGCTAGAATTAGAAAGGCCTACCTATTTTACTATGTTGCCGTTACATTAACTTATATGAAACAATGTTTGTGACGATTTTTTTATAATATTCTTAAAAGTACTCAACCATACAAATTAGTTACCCGGTCACCAGCAAATCAGAATTTAATTCATGAATCACGAATAAAAATCACGCTACTTAAACAATACATAGCAACTTTGAAGTAAGTCTAATTCAAGTTGAAGTGGGTTAAAAATCTATTGGAATGAAATTGAACAATTTTAAGCAAATTTGAAGTGGCTTTAGAGTAAGCCCAACCTAAGTTGAAGTAGGTTGAGAAATAGCTTAATTTAATTCACTTTAATCTATTTTACCACTTTAAATTTAATGTTTTTTTAAATTATTTGTAAAATTTTCTACTATAATTAAAAATTTTTTATTTTTGGTTTAGGTTTTATAGCTTAGTAGTTAAGTTTTTAAACTTTTATAAACCACGATTAATAATTTAAATTAAGCTAGATACAAATTATTAAATTTATATTTATAATTTAAATAAAAATTATAATTATAATACAAAAATTTATGATTTACAATTAAAATTATTTTAGCTTATTTGAACTTTTTTTATCTTCTAAACAGCAACATTAAAAAAATTAAATTATAAAAAAATATTTTAAAAAGATTCAAATGACATTATTCTTGGTTTTAAATAAAATAAATTTGTTAACAAAGTCAAGAATATATAAACATTAAAATATAATATATATAAAACTTTTAATAGGTTTATATTTTGAATTAAACTTGTTATCTAAAAAAGTATTCTAAAAAACAATAAAACATTATTATATATATATATATTTTTTTAACTTAAGCAGTCTTGCTAATCATCTTTATTAAGATTCTTGTATACATATTGTACAAAGTTGACTTAAATTTTGGTTCAACATCTCCTAGTTACTTTTGTGAATGCTCAAAAACAATCTGTTACATAGGTCAGGTAATTATTCCTGACCCAAGGTTATACCAAGCTAGCTAGTAAGATTCTGAAAAAAGAGTCTTGCATTTCTATTTACAAAACTAAAAACTGAATCAAGTCAAGTTTTTTGAATTTGAATCTTGTCTTACTCTTTTTTCTCACTCATGACTTGGTTTTGTTCATCTATATTTTTAGTTTTTTCTTTTTTTCATATTTTTTTGCTTGAAAGGTTTTGTTTTTTGTTATTTTTTTTTTTTTTAATTGTGGTATTTATTTCTACTAATTTTTCCTAATCAGCAATAATATTACATTTTTTTTATATATTTTCAAAAAACCTATTTCATATTGTATTTGTAAACATTGTTATAAAGTTTTTGGTTTCCTTTAAAAAGTGTATAATATCTTGTATTGTCTTTTTGGTTTTTTCTTATATTAAGTCTTTGATGATTTTGGATCTGCTTGCTGATCTTTCTTCTTTTGAAGTTTCTTATAAAAGTTTTTTAAACTTTTTTTTACTTATCTTTCTCTGAGTTTTTTTTGCAAATATTGTTTATACCAAATCGATTATTATATTTTTTGTACAGTTCTATCCTTTTTTATATTCATTACATATTACTAAATAGTCTTGATCTTTTTCATAATCTTTATTATATAGTATATAAATTGCATTTTTGTATAAATCTGGTTATTTTTGTGTCAAAGTCTTGAATACAAGTAGTTTTTTATTTATATATTTAATTAATGTTACTAATTATTTTTTCTTTTTATACTTATATATTTTGTTTCACTTTAACCCTTAATGTTTTATAATAATAATGACCAGTCATGTTCTTCCTTTCCTGAAATTGGTTGTTTTTTGAATTGATGATGTAAATCTTTATTCTGCTCTAATCTTAAGTTCTAGTACATTTTTGATAAACTTTCTTGTTAAATTTTCAATCACTAAATTCTTTCAACAAAACAAAATATTTAAATTTAAAAATAACACCTCAATAATTCTATTAAAATTATCTATTTTGTCTTTCTCTTTTGCTAATTTATTTGCTCTATTATTTTATTTGTTACAACTATATCTTTTTATTTTATTTGATAGTTCAATATGAATATGTTTATATAAATATATATTTAATATAAATATTAATAAAAAGTTAGAAAGAGGATGGTGATCCTAGTGTAATGGTTGGGTTGTCATCCTCCAAGTGGCAGGTCTAAGGTTCAAATCCCACCTACGACGAAATTTGGAAATTATATCTG